TGTACTCCGTACGTTCGTGGTACCAAATCTGTATGTGTTCCATAGGGGCAAAGGACCCGAATCCTCTGTTAGTAGCTGCGATCATCCCTCATTCATCTTCGATCGAATTCAAGGCCGATTGTAGTATGCTCGGTTCTGGTGCTCTCAACGGATTCTCGATACCATTATTGATGAGACCAACGCTACAATACTTTGGAGTACACAGTACATCGATTATGGTTCACGTTTCATAGAACCAGCTGAGTTTGTACCTGAACCAAACGAGGAGGTTCATTCAACAATCCATTCGTTGGTTTCCATCGCGGGCCAAGAAAACGTGGAGACGAGAAGTGGAGGTTATCGGACCATCCACTAAGAATAGCCCCTGAACTCCTGAGAGGTTCGTGAAATACACACCACCGTCTCAACTTGCCTCCGTTCAATGATCCTGATATCTAATTTCCCGTACTAGTTGTCCAGCCTGGGGGTGATCTCGGCTCGCAGGAGGCTGTCCTTCTGCTACTTTTCCAGATCATACCTACCTTCTGGCTAGAACGCTCTCTTCTTCTTGTGTTTTACAATCTTCAGTCGTCCCTCTTTACATTTTGTCCCCTCCCCCTCTTTCCTTTCAGACACCAGACTCACTCGCTACACTTCGTGGTTCACACCGTGGTACCTCTTTTTATTTCTATTTTTATCTCTATCATTCTTCTTCTCCGATAAAGTCTCGCCTCCCATGCAGTTCTCGTCATGTCTCTCAATGGGCTAGATAATCCCGCTGTCATAGAAGCCTATCAAACCGCTTTAAGCGAAGCGGGAGGATGGTAAGTCAAGTCCTGTTTCCACTACTCCCGGCGCAATTGATGTTTCACGGATACGTGCATCGAAAATTCACAGTATGATTAAGGCAACGGCTGATCATCCCTTCCCGCATCTAGGTTTCTTCTCCAATATGTGTCAAGGGATGAAGTGGCTCTACTCGATCGGGGGACTGGCGGGGTGCCCGACGTACGGAATGCGATCGACGGTTATGAAGAAAAGTCTCCGCTTTATGGATTCCTACAATATCGTCGCAGGAAGGTAGTGCTGAGCTATCTGCCGGAGGGTATCTCTCGTCTCGTACAAGGTATATATCCTTATCACCCATCGTCCCAATCTCCACTCTTACTGACGAGGTCTTGCACCCACCCTCAGCCCGTACAACCGTGCAGTTTCAGTCGATTCTCGATAAATTCTCTCCACATGATACAGTATTCTCTCTTTCGCAGCCATTGGAGCTCACTGAGAGCGCACTATCTTCCGCATGTCTACTACATACCGCTTCAGGTTCTATCACCTCCTCCTCGAATTCCCTCCGCCGTCGCAGGCTGATGGAAATCGCGGAAGATGCAGAGGAAACCCCCGGAAGCAAAGACGCTTCGCCACCCTCAGTCTCGACCAAGGACTTTCGGCAAAGATCCTTCAGCCAACTATCAGACGCAACCATCATCGCCTCGCCGGTTGCATCCGATGCACACTCTATTCGCCATGGCACCGAGACATCATCGTCGACGAAAACCCCGGATGATACCCAAGCCAACGATCGTCCTCCTTCGATTGCCGGCGATCACCACTCCGAGCGTCCGGCTTCGCGAAAAACCTCGCGGGACGAGCTGTCATACTCCGAGCCCCGAAGGTCTAGTCAATCTGCTAGGCCATCTTTAAAAGATTTGGAACGCACAGGTGTGTACAAACCAAAAGTTAAGCGTGGTCCTCGGCCTTCGGTAGATGAAAGTGGACGGCCACGCACTGCAGGGAATCTGTCACGCAGCGCAGAACAGCGACCGGTCGCGTCCTTGCCAGCTGGCATGCGGTCGTCTTCTCTGCGGAGGAGCAATCCTAGTCCCGCTCGTCCCCGATCCCAGGGAAGCACCGTAGCATCTATGTCTGGACGAACGGTCCCTCCCGTGCCTCCTTTACTCGTACCTCCCCTGTCAATGCCTATTTCTAGACCCCAGCTATCGCCTGGCGCCAAGTCATTAAGCGCATTATCATCCTCCGGAACATCCCAGGAAAGGGAACGGTTAATGAAAGCACTTCAGCTACGGAAAACACAGATGGAGAAAAAGGCAAAAGAAGGGAAGAAAATTCATCGAGATGTTGAAGAGAGAAAAGAATCACAATTCGACCCGATCGAGGACAAGGAGAACATTAGTCATGCTCATGACAACATGAAGCGTGTTCAAGCGGACGAGAATAAGGCTATTGTTCAAGAGCATAGCAAGGGTCCCCTGTCGGAGACTCAGCCTTCCGTTGTTCCAGAACCAGTCGAGGTACACGATGAGCACAAGAAAGCCGTTTCGGAGACCGTAATCTCGGAATCAACCCCTGACATGCCGATCACTGATCTACGAGTCATTTCTGAAACAAGTGCGGAAAATAAGGACGATGATAAAGAGCTTTCAAATACGGGCCACTGTCAAGCTGCAGAGTCGGCTTCTGTTCTTGAAGATGACGTTGTTGAAGAGGATTTGACTAAGTCAATTGACGAAGAGACTAAAAGTGGTCCCGGCTCGCCTAGCGCGACCAAAGAAGTCCCACTTGAGGAGAGGTCCCTCAACATTCCAGACGAAGAAATTGCCGTGCGTTCTCCACCAGCCGAGAATCCTCTTGCTCCTGTTGAACAGGAGACCGACGCCATTGGAGAACCTGCCGAGTCTGCCCTGCCTCAGTCCATCCCCGTACTTTCGACCCCTGATTCTCGCACAAGTCACCCTTCCGATTCCCCGACAACCCACGATCCTCACGTTACTGAGACACAGAATGACCTGACCCCTGAAGTATTGGTCACGGAGCAAAAGGACATCGATACCCGGAAAGAGAAGCGTAGACCTCACCTTGAACCCATTCAAGTGCCAACACCGGATTATTCGGATGACGATAATCTTTCCGATGATTCATTCATGGAAGAATTAAAGAGCGCCACACTAGAGGAAGCCAAGCCCATTTCAGTTGGGAGCTCACCGCTATCCCCGGGCTATTCTAATAATGGAAACGACCGAAGCCCCCCTGATGCATGGAAAAATTCACGAGCGGTTTCCAACCCAAGTGCTATTGGACGCCAACTACCCAACATACAAGCACTAGCTGTGGGAAGGTCTGTGTCGACATCTTACAATGAAGTTGACAGCTCTGTCCTGGTGGCGAAGAAAATCAATGTGTCTTCGGGCATCTCAAAGCGCATCGCAGCCTTGGAGAAATTTTCGAGCCGGAGCGATGCGCAACCAAGCACCAATCAAACCTTAGCAGCACCTTCGTCGGCTTCCTTCGAGGCTCTCAGGAAGAGAGCCTCCGTCTCATTGAATGGTAATTCAGACTCAGCGCTAGGATCTAGGCATGGATCGTTCACTCCTGAAAGTTTTTCTCGAGCTTCCAGCGTGAGGCGCCCCGACTCACAATCTAGTGCAAGCGTCAAACGTACAAATTCAGTGTCGGTCACAGCCCGGATAATTCGTGATTCAAATACTACACCAGGGGATTCCAAGGCCGATCCTTCGGAGAACAGCGTGCTTGATCTCCACGCTAGTCCACTGATAGTTGAACATAACACCCGCGACTCTCCTTCGCCCGATCCATCGCCAGAACCTATGGCTAGCGAGTCGAAAGAGCGCAGCATGTCTACATCTTCGGTTGGCTCGAGTACCCAGCCTCCTGCGCCGTCAATGCCACGCTCAGATAGTCGGATGTCTATCTCTTCTGTCTCCAAGAATGAAGACGCTTCAAAACCTGTCGTGGATGCCCCTTTGTCTCCCGAAGGAAAGAAAGAGTCTCGCGCATCTCGACTTCTTCGTCGTATGTCATCTATCACCTCAACTTCGCGGAAGATTCCATTTAGCTCACTAGGCCCGGTGGTTAAAGAAGAAAGCACGCCGCTTGATACAGGAGTCGAAATCCCGCAGGCAGTCGATATCGGAGAGGTCAATGTTCAGTTCCCCGATACGCTCCTCTGGAAGCGACGATTTGTTCGCGTTGATGATAAGGGGTACTTGGTTCTGACTCCTGGAAATATCGATTCAAGTAACCGTAACATGGTCAAACGATATCATCTAAGTGAATTTAGGACGCCCGCTTTGCCGGATGAGGATCGACAGGAGCTTCCCAACAGTATTTTGCTGGATTTCCTCGACGGCAGCACACTTCAATGCGCCTGCGAATCACGACAAGGGCAAGCCTTTGTCCTTCGAAGTAAGTTTCCTCGCCTGCAGCATAATCGAATGTGTGGTAACTGACTGTGATTAGCCCTTGTCGATGCTCACAGCGCCCATCAACAACTGTCTCAATAAATCCTCAAACACCCTTACATTCTTTTAAGCTGTATACAAATACACACTGTCTTCGAGCCTTCGTCCGTCTTTTTGTCTTGTTTCCTTTTGGTATCTGAGTTTTCAGCGGTATACCCCTCTAAAAACGGTTTCCCTTTGTTTACCAGCTGTTCCTACTTAGTTCTCAGCAGTCAGATTTTACATTTCTCTTGAACCTTAGAGCGTGTTTTCCTTATTGGCTTTTAATTGTTACTTGATGAGATGCATGATCTTATGATTTAGACCTATTGCCTAACAGCGAACCAAACGCTGTTGACACAGGGAGGATCAGTAACTGACTTGTCATCTTCATTCCTTCCTTTTTATACCCTATTAAATTCTTGGGTATAGAGTGATTGATTCATTCTACATCTAGAGTTATTGCTGGATTTGGATACCTACATGGGTTATCAGGCCTCGATACCTATCGATGCCAACATATTAACGGCAATACATTGAAAAGTTCAACTCGTCTTGTCTCTTTTCCTTAAATGTGTATACATTCGTCATTTTCTCTGTCGACAATCTTGGACATATGATACATTTGCAAGACTTTTGAATTTTATTCGCCCCGTATACGCCTGATAATAGTACAACACTCACATAGTTACACGGATCCATGCTATATCCAAGTAATTATACTCATCTGCAAAGACCACTGAGGCTTCAGTCTATGTATGGTTAGTTTTGATCGACAGTGGCCTCGGCCGCCCTTTTCTTCTCCCACTGTTCCAAGAACTGCTGTACCTTGGGTCCCCAAACCTCTTCACCAGCCTCCAGATCCCGATACTCAAGTACCTTGTCAGCACCAAGTTCGAAATCTGCCTGACGGGTCCGGATGAGTTCACTCATCAGTCCACAGCTGCCAACGGCCTTGCCCAGGTCATGTGCCAAGGAACGGACATAGAAGCCCGACGAGACGGTCATGATGATCTTAACAGCCGCGGATTTCGGCTGAGGGGCAGACTCAGCCTTCTCTGGCAACGCATCTGACTTCTCTTCTGTTGTTTCTGGGGCATTTGACGACGATTGCTCGGTCTGTGCCGGGACCGCTTCGCCTTCAGCAGCCTTCTGCTTCTTCACGGCCGGAGATTTCTCACCTTCGGTCGTGACTGGGGCATTATCTTCAGCTGCATTGGGGCTATCCGGAGGGGGTGGTGTCTTGCGTTTTGTCGAAGCCGAAGCATCTTGCTCGACTGTCTTCTCGGCTGATCCTGCAGCTTCGGCGGACGGCGCAACAGGTAGAGCATCATCTCTCGCGAGGAGTTTCTCGGCGACCGCCTTCTCCTCAGCAGCGGCCTCTTGTTCAGGCCATTTGAAGTCATGTGTACCAGGCTCATACCACTCGAGAATACGCAGATCCGTCACCTCGACGGGTCTCTCCTGGATCTCAATCGGCGGCTCCTTGCCCTCACGCGCGTATTCATAAAGCGGCTTGCCCTTGACCTTCAAGGCCGAAAAGATAGGTGGGCGTTGCATGATCTTTCCCCGAAACTGCTCCAGCGCCTTCTCAACCATTTCGCGCGTAACATGCTCATATGGAGCCCGCCGGACGACCTTGCCCAACCGATCGTAGGTATCTGTCTCGGCCCCGAAAAGTACAATTGTTTCGTAGGTTTTTGTACATCCCAGGAAGTCAGGGAGCTGTTTGGTACCTTTGCCGACACCGGTGACTAACACACCGGTTGCCAGAGGATCGAGGGTTCCTCCATGACCGATTTTGACATCCAGGCGTTGCGTGCGGCGCCGTCTGCGCTGGTTTTTGCTTTCGCGGTCTCGGCGAGCGCGCTCGGTTTCTAACCAAGGCTTGAAGAGCTTCGAAGGGTTGAAATGGTGTTGGAGGGTGCGGATGACATCGGCGGAAGTAACTCCTTGGGGTTTATGGACGGCTATTGCAGTTGTTAGCTTGCTGTTAATTGCCAAAATACTTATAATTTGAGTGAAAGAAAATGTGATGTGGCGAACATACCGAAAACACCTTCGTAGATCTTTTCTCCAGACATCGTGGTTCGAAATAGCCTAAAGCCCGGGCGGAATCCCATCAGCGCGGGGGAGGAGGAATTGGAGAAGGAGAGTGAAGGAGGAGCTTAGGCAATGTTGTATGCGACCAAGTCTAGAAACAGACAACTCAATTGACCCGCAGCTCTGCTTATCCAAGAACGAAAGAAGCTCAAATCTATCAACTGAACAACCACAGCACGGAACTGAAGCTGCGACTGAAGAAAAAACAGCGGCGGGTTTGCGCCCGCTTGCAAAAGGCGTAAACTCGTAATACAGCCTTCCGTATGGACCGCGTAAGATACGGAATTCATGAGTAGTGCACAATGGGTACCGCCTGGTAATTACAAGACTCAATAAATACAGAACCATCGTCTACTCTTTAGACTCTCTGGAGTCTCAACAACGTCTGTCAATATCACCCGTTCTTCTTTATCTCATCCCGTTTCTCGTTGTATCGGTTTTCAAGAGCCTCTTTGTGACCCCTTTCTTGCATGTCGGCCAAGGCATCATGCTGCCTCCGGAGACATGACATCGCGAGAAGATAGTGTCCTGGCCGCCAGAGACCCGTCTCTTGCTGACGAGAACGACTGGGAAGAGTTCAGTCTATCCGAGGTCAGAGTCCTGGTCCCGGGCAAATCCCGCTATGCGAACCTCCTCACGGCCTCCCCGGACAATCCTGTTCAGGTAACCGGGTGCTTGGATGAGGTGGAGGAGGAGCAGGAGTCCCTCGGTGCGTTCCGATCTACATCAGCTCACATACCATAGTTCATGTCCCCCTCATTCTGACACATCAATCGCTGGAGTTAGTGCTCGACCAAGACTACCTTACGAAACGAATTGTTCTAGAAAACGTTACGCATTACGCTTACGGCCAACATGATGATGGCGAGGTCGGCATCTGGGTTGCCGGCCGCGCGGGCTGGTTCTCCATCTCACCTGCGAGGGGTTACCGGCCTATGTTCAATGATGTGGTGGAGGCCATCGATTTACTATATTTCTTAGCGGACCGACACCAGAAAAGGCGGCGGAGCAAGCGGAGGAATCGGACTCCGAGCGTTGAATACTTGTGCGAGGAGGTTAGTGGATTCCCCATCTATGCGCTTGTGGTGAAGGGAATATCGTCACTAACGTTAGAACCCCTGGGATAGTACGTGAACCATACGCATGGGATTTGCGAGGATAATGACGATTCGGCCGAAGTCTTCTACAAACATCATCACTTCCTACTTACCCGAATGCTGAAGGGTGAGGAGGATGTTCAATGGGTCGATACAGACATTTTTGCGCACCTCCGTGAAAAGTTTCCGGTACTTGTCCTTCTCCTGCAGTATCAGTCACGGTGGCTTACTTGATGGTTAGGAGGACTACGAAGAGATTAAGGCCGAATTAGAGCCACCGAAGGCAGAATCAGAGCCCGAAGAAGACGAAGCCAACGATGAACCGGAGGCAACCCATGAACCAGACCCGACCGCGGTCTCCAAAACGCAAACAGAGGCCATTTACCAAGTGATACTTGACCTAAAGGAGGCCGGACACTTGGCGAAACGCCAGTTAAATCTTGATCTTGTTGCCTCCACGATAGTGGGGCGCTTCGAGATCGATAGTGCGGAATATGCCCAAGACCTCATAGCAGCAAAAGCCGATGCAATCATAGAACTCATGGATGAGGCGAAAACTTCGACTTTTGATTGGTCACGCAAGGTCATATACCGAGAATTGAAAGCCGCCGCGAAGAAACACGACGTGCAACAAGTAGCATTCACTCCACTACGGCCTCGTCTATCCAACGAAGATGGGTCCTCTGAGGATGACAGCGAGCGTGACGAAGAACAACCCAGGCCGCGAAGGCGCCGAGTCCGTAAATCTGTGCTGCGCCCTAAAAGCGCGATCGCTAGCAAGAAGATTGGCAAGCGAACGAGGAGTGCCGCCGCAGCGGACGATGAAGATCTTTCGGATAACCCTGATGCAATGGATGAATTTCAAACTCCCAGCAAAGTGCGTGGTCATGATCTTGTCCGCGATCCTTTATCTACGCGGGCGAAACGCAGAACCCGTTCGATGCTCTCCAACCCCGAAACCACACCTTTTCAGAAGGTGCCCGCGCTACAGGAAATTCTCCAAAGTCGCAATACATCGGTCTCTGTCGGTGACCAGGCACCCTCGGAGTCAGACACCCCTAACGGTAATGAATCAACATCCGATACATGGGTTTGTCAAGCTCGGGGTTGTGGCCATGTTATTCACAAGAGCAATACAAAACATGGCAAGGAGCTGATCCGGGTTCATTCACTAGAGCATGCAGATGATGCCAAGGTCAAAATGGACCTGGTCTTTTCAGAACACCAGCTTAATCTAGGGTTTCGTGTCGATAATCTCCTTGAGCATATTCGGGGAATGGGTGGTTTAGATATTACAGCAGCCATGGACGGGGCAACAAACGGGACTACCGGGATTGGAGCATAGCTGCAAGGCAGTACTTATGATTTTGATAATATCCCTATTCAATATGAGCATAACCCCTTTTTTTTTCCCTCTTTGTTCACTGCTGGATTGAACCAGTGATTGTAGGGCTTCACGGTTCCCCGATGGTATGTAAGGACTATACACTTCTGATCTTTTTCACCATAAGCATGCACATGCCTTCTTCAGAGCTGCGAGCTCACATTTCGAGCAATACGGGCATGGACATACAATCTCATCCAACCATTAGGGGGGGCCAGATATCTATACCTAGTATGGCCAATTCGCATCAACATAGTCATGTTCAGACGGGACTTAAGACCGGAACTGGTGAGAATACGATGCGAGCCGAGTTAGCCAATGAGTAGCTACCGCTTGTTGACGGCGTGCTACTTCATTTCATGTAAGGCGTTATAGCTGGGCCGTCAACTGTTCGTTCAGAACGTCTCCAGTCAACGGGTTACAAGCTGTTACTCTCAATCCAAGCATTCTGGGATGAGGGTTGCGAGGCCTGAATGAACCGATAGGGTATCTTTCAGCTTTGGGAAGGGCATTGTGAGTATCATCGAGATTATGCTAGGGACCAAGGAAGCCATAGGGTTACGGGTGTCACTACAATAACGGGTCTAATACCTACCTGATGAGGACTACTTAACCCATAGCCCATAGAGACTTCTGAAGGTGAACGTAATTCATCTTATTTTAACCCACAGTGGTTCCCAGTGCTCTTCAGCCTCTCTCTCACTGCAATTTTAGTGTCATCGAAGCGTTCGCAGGCCTCACACTATGACTAAGCCTGATTGAGATAGTTATGTGGCGTGTCTTGTACATACCCTCATGATTGACGAGTATGTCTGCCATAGTCAGCCTCAGAACCTGTCTGCCATTGCGGGTTTAGGGTCATCTGATTTCGATAGATAATTGTTATGTAGCGTTGAGAAATAAGGGAGAAGACAAAGGGTGCCAGTGTTGGATATTCTCGGAGATAGAATCTTGAGGAATCTTTGTACAAGAAAATATAGAACCCTCAACATTGAGCTTCAACACCTTTTAAAACTGTATTAAATCCCGAACATAGCATACATATTATGATTTTAATTATGCTGATTCCAAAACTTCAATTAAAGTTAGATCATGCTGCGAACTAGTCAAGTTATACATGTTTAGTTTCAGAACAGTTTTCTAGAACGTTTATTTTAATAGAGAAAAATAAAAATAAAAATAAACATAAACAAAATTTAATAAAAGAAGGATTTCTGGGAGAGTTAGGGTTTAAACTTGATATGATTTTGGCAGTCATACTGGAAGCTGCTCTAATGTTTAGTAAATATAATTCTTATTTTAACGACTTATAACTTTACAAGAAGGCCCTATGCAAAGAGCCTCAGCACTGCAATTTTAGGGTCATCGAAGCGTTGGTAAGCTTATTGTGCATCCATGGCCGTCACTGCAGTTTTAGACCCGTCGGAGTGTTGGTATGGCATGTGATATGGCGACCTGGCAGCGAGTATTTGGAGCCCTAAGTCAAGTACTTAAATTGTAGCAGGATAAGGAGCCAGCTGCCGTGGACAAGGTCATCCAGATTATTTCAATGTACACATAAAGCAGACCTGGGATTCGCGGAACAATCCCACGATAACCCGATCCAGAGTCTAAGAGAAAATCGACACTACTCTTTTGAAACCCCATAAAGCCAACTTTTACATCCCATACAAGCAAAATATTAAGAACAAAAAAACTCAATCACGCCCGTCCCTTGGCGGCAGCTCTCTTGCTTTTGCCAGGTCTCTTAGCACCTCCCTTCATCTTCTTTACCGAGAAACTGCGCAGGTCTCCGCTGGACATAGCATCACCGCTCTTGGCGTGGCGCTTCTTGCCGCCGAAGCCGTACTTCTCGTTCTTCTTCTGGCGCTTCAGATTGGGACCGCCACCATCCTCACGGCCACGCTTGCGGCCCTTGGACTCGGAGTTATCGATGGCGATGTCGAACATGTCGTTGTCGTTGTCTGTAGGGCCGGAGGGGTTGGCCTTGCGCTCTGTTCAAACCGTCCGGTCAGCAAATCTGTTTCATAGGAGCCAATACAACTAGGTAGAGGAACCAAACATACTCTTCTTCAGATCATTGATCTTCTCCAAAGTCTCACGCTTCTCCTTCGCGCGCTGCTGCAACTTCGCGACCTGGACCTGCTTTCCGAATTTCTTCAGATCGCGCTGCTTGCGAGCCTCCGCAGCTGCCTTCTTGCCCGCCGCTTCATCATACAGCTTCTTCTTGATCCTGCCCATGTGCTCATCCGTTTTAACCATCTCAGCAAAGTAGTCTCCGGGCCGAGTGAACGGAATACCCTCCTTCTTGAGTAGTCCACGCGCCGTCGAAGCAGCCGCCTGACAAACCTTGTAGAAGGCCAGCTCGCGAGCCAAGTCATCGTTAGGGTCGGGGACTTCGATCGGTTCTTGCGAGACTAGCGAGTTGTGCTCGGAGAATAGGGTCTTGGGTGTGATGAAGGAGATGCGCTTGAGGGAGGCGTTGATTGCGGCGGAGTTGTTGATCGTGAGACGTTGGTGGGGTACAACGTCTTCTCTTTCGTCTTCCGAGAGATCAGAGAGCGGGATGTCTTCCTCTTCCTCTTCCTCTTCTTCCTCTTCCTCGTCATTGTCATCGTCCTCTTCTTCCTTATCGGAGGTCTCTTCCTTTTCCTCTTCCTCCTCCTCGTCGCTTGATCCTTCCTCCTCGACCTCTTCCTCAGCTTCGCGCTTCTTAGACTTCAGATCTTCGGCCTTGATCGCAAAACCAGTTAATACCAATTGCCAATCGATAATCATCCATATAAGAACAGAAAAAAGAAAGAAACCCACCTTATCCTTCGCCTGAACACCATTCTCCCCAGCAGCAGCCTGCTTAGCAGCCTTCCTCTTCTCCGCCGCCTTAACTAGCTTCTTCTGCTTCTCAGCCTCATAATCGCGACCCCGGTGGTCATCCAGAGCCTGAAGCAATTTACTCCGCTTAGGCATATTTCCTGTGAAGAACCTAAAGTTCTGTAACTTATAAGCAAAAAAAGAAGAGAAGAGAAAAGAGAGCAAAAAATAGGGTATCCTAACACTCGAAAACCAGAACTTGTCGGAGCCAGACGATCAAGAGCAGCAACTACGGGAATTTTTTTGGGATGTGAACTAGACCCGAACCGGTTAGAGCCGTTGATAAGGATACACTAGGCTGTATCAGGACTAGAGGGGGATGGAGAATAGTTGATCCTGGGTTTTGTATGGTATGTGGTATTGTATGTATGCGCGCATCTTATCGTGATGACTTGCGTCTCCTGGCTGTATACTGGTGCCAGGGTTTGATTGGGGTCGTGTTTGACATCTCTCTCTTTTTTTTTACCCTTTTTCATTTGTGACATATTCTTCCTTATTGTCTTATATATTTTTTCTTTTCTTTTCTTTTTCTCATATTGTGTCTGTCGGTTCGAAAATGACGGAAGACGACAATAAATCTGTCTCTACCTCCGAGGCTGTTACTCCCCCCACTGGCGAACAGGTACGTCCCTCCCTCCCCTCCTTGTCTTAACCGGTCAATCTGTGTACTGATCTACACCCAGGCTACCGATGCACAGGGCCAGCTCGCAGCAGCTGTGGATGACCTCCTCGATCAATTACAGCATAAATTCGATACCGTGTCGCGGGAGATGTTCGGGAAACGTAGGTCTTCTCCTATCAGCCCCCCCCCCCCGCCCGAAAGAGGACATGTTGGCTCAGATGACTGACGTACGGCCTCAGTGGACGATATGGCAAGACGGCTTGATGAGTTGGAGGCTTCGTTGACAACTGCTGGGGATGCGAGTACGCCGACGGGGCCGGGGAGTCCGACCAAGTGATCAGGATTGCGACGGTGCGACGGGGTTAGACTGGGAGTTTTGTCTTGATTCTATGAGGAGTTTGGTTGTTTGAGCATTTGTTACTTTTATTTCTCGTCTTGATTAGAGGATTGCGTCTTTGCAGGGCCTTGTTTTTCGTGGTCTTAGACGATTGCATAAGATACCCTGAGAATGTTATCTGGTTGTTTTCACTGATGTAGTAGTGTATTTCATGACTTGATGTAAAAGTTTCATTTTCATTCATTGTCTCTATATTAGTCGTACAGAGACGGACTTATTCCAGAGTTTTATATAACCAAGAGCACGTTCATATCACATATAGCTAGCTCTCCGGCTGTATCCTAATCACACGTCATATACGAAATTGTACATCTACAGCTCGTCCTTCATGTCCATATCGCTCTTCTCCTGGCTCAGGAACTGGCGCAGAACATTGCTACGAGAGATGAGGTCGTCGATCTTCTCCGGCGCCGAACCACCCTTGGCGATGATCTTCTTCAGACGGGCCAACTCCTTGCCGGCATACTCCTTGTTCTGGCTGAGCTTCTCGGCAACCTTGACATAGTACTGAGCGTACTTGTCCTGCAGGTCCTTGGCAGCCTTCTTCACCTCACCGAGGAACTCCTCGACGTTCTGGGAGGAGGTGTACTTGGCGACCAGCTCGTCGAGGGAGGCAATGGTGCCAGCCTTGTCATCAAGCCCGCCTCCGACGGCGCGGTGAGTGCCGGCCTTTTCGTTCACGAACTCAACGAAAGCCTCTTCCGAGCGGGCGCCAGAGTAGGCAATAGCCTCCTTAGAGCCCTTGGGGAAAAACTTGATGGTCGGGTAGCCGGTGACACCCTGCTCCCGGGCGGTGGCTTTGGCATTCTCAGCCTCAGCATCGACCTTGGCGATCACAACGTTGGGCTCGAGGGCGAAGTCCTTAGCGAGGGACTCCCAGGTAGGGGCGAGGTTCTTGCAGTCTGGTGGCAAATTAGCACCCAGTCAAGCCTATCAACGCATCCCATAATAAATCCAAGAGATAGCCCAGCTGAGTATCAAGATAGAAAAAGGGTAAACTCACGTCCACACCAAGGGGCGGTGAAAGCAACCAGAACATCCTTGTCACTTCCAATAGTAGTCTTGAAGGAGGAATCGGTCAGCATCTCGACCTCGCTGGGCTCCTTCTTCGGGCCACGAGGCTTGACGCCCGTCTTCTCCGCTACGAAGTTAGACAAGCTCTCCAAATCCCGACCGCCATTGTAGTCCACGGGCTTGTCACTCTTGCCATCGAACCATTTGAGAGTCGGGAATCCCTGGATACCGAACTTCTTGCCGAGATCGCGGTGCTCGTCAGCATCGACCTTGCCAATGGTAACTTTGTCTTCGGCGTGGGCGAAAACTTGTCCGAGCTCCTCATACACAGGCGCGAGGTTCTTGCAGTGACCGCACCAGGGGGCGAAAAATTCAACGAGGGCGGGCTTGCCGGACTTGAGGACGACATTGTCGAAGTTCTTGGGAACCAGGTCGACGACTGCGGAAGCAGCGCTCACGACGCTGAGGCAGCTCACGAGCAGGTAGCTCAGACGAGCCATGGTAATGATTGGGAAGATAAGACGTGGAGACAAGCTTAATCGTTCGGGAACAGAGGTTGAAACAATTGCGCCTTGACTGTAAATGATCAGTTTCCGGAGCAATGAAAGTTGGCTGATAAATGGAGTCTCGGCGTGGAGAGCTAAGGAGCCAAAGAGCTCCGCGGCGGATCGACAAAGCGGGTCGGAAAGAGGACACTTGGTATCAACGGAACAAATGACCGATTCATTGTGTACAGAACATATAAGAAAAAAAAATTATGCGATATATCTACTGGATCGTAGTTGACCATGAGAGGCATTGTATATTCCGCCATCATCCTTCCTACTAATACATGGTTCCTTTGATAGATAGTGTGAAGCCATCCATCAAGTGGTGGCGATTCCCTCTCACCACAACTGATAGGGCCCGGATTTGTAGGATCGAGTAGATTTTCAGAAATGTTGAATTACGGTAGTTCATATTCTTCTGTCCCTCTTACTCTCAGTTAATCCCATCATCGCCTCGCGGCCAACCAGCTGTTTGCGTCCCCAAATAGTTTACCGTCCTTGAATTCTTTTCCGGCGTGCTGTGTTCCTTTGTAGACCTGCAGGGTGAAATCAGTACCGAGTTCATGCCGGTAGTCCAAGGCATGAGATATACTCACCGCATCCCAAAGCTTGAAAGCCAAATCTAAATTACCTGTAAAGCTATCGCTGTGTTGAAACCATTCCTTACCCTTTGACTTCACTTCAGCCCGTGCCTCTGGCGATGTCGGGTCGGCCTGCAGGGGCAAGTCATCAAGGTATGTGCGGACGGCGATACCCAGACCGCAGTCATTGTCGTCGATAAAGGGCAATCTACATCACGTTAGGCCAGCCATCCTTTGGCTAGAGCAAGGTCCACTTACTTGACGCTCAAACTGGTCCAGTCGTCCCGGTCCCTGTTCGCATCTCCGCTGAGTAGAAGACCCGTCAAAACGACTTCAATCAGATTCCTTAATGTGACGCGGACTTCCGAAACCAACGATCGGTAGCAGAGTAACTGCCGGCTCAGAGGTCCAGAGTAGCCAATACTCTTATGCTGTAGTTTAGCGATACACGCTACGCGAGAGACGAGAATGTTGAAGTTTTTGTCCTCGTCTTAGAAGACATCAGTATGGCCCTACTGGCATAGAAGGTGGGCACAATTAGCTTACCGGAACCTCTCATCGGGCCTCCTGATACGTGGGAAAACCATTGCTTCGCATTAAGGACACCAAAGCGTACCATCTCAATAGCAAGGAAGGTAGCCTCCTCAAGGTTATCGGCTGGGTCAAGTACCGATAGGGCTTGCTCCAGACAAAGGCCCCAGGAAGTGAGCTGGTGTTTCTCGTCGATATACCCACGCAGTTGTAAGAATCTCCAGAAAACGTTGGCAAGGATCTCTTCTTGGGACGACAATGGCTAGCACTAGTCAGATTTCCATGTTTGTACAACTCCAGACAAAACGGGGTATACCTGGGACTCCTTAGCAGACAGAGACTTGGACACGAATTCTGGATCCTTCAAGCTTTGGACGGCAAACTTGAACGGGCCATTCGACCGCTGGTTTCCGGTTAGCGGAGCGCTGTGGGATCGACGATCATCAGCAGACTAACCTGTAGTTTCTTCAACCCCTCCGGTAGCTGATCAATACGGATCTTCCAAGACTGAATGGTGTCTTTAACCGAAGGCAATGACTTGAGATTGACTGATGTATCGGACTTCTCGTCATACCAAGTGCGCACTTGGATCACCTTTGTCTGGTAGAATCTATGGAGGGAGTTCGAAAGCAAGCATATCGCTTGGGTTCTAATTGGAGTAAGGGTGGTCCCGGCAACCTGGCGATAGATCTCCGTATCTTCCACGCCCAAAGGCCGAGATACCACGACCTCGCCAGACGTCAGGTAGTTGGGCACATCAGCGCCCAAGACACCTTTCGAGAGATAAAAGTAGAGTTCTTCAGGAAGACGCTGGCCGATCAGCTCGTGCATGTCAGAAGAGGTGTTCTCTGGGTCCATCGGGCCCACCCGTCCTTCCGCGTCTATAAACACATGGTGCTTCACTGTCATGAATGCACGCTTGTAGCGGTCTGTGTATTGAAGCTCCTGCATTCGGCGATCCTCCTCGAACTGGGCGCACAGCGAGAGGGCGCTCCGTCCAGCAGAGTTGAACATCGGCAGAGCATCCCGAATGGTAGCGGCCTTTCCAGGAAAGGCGGGGTTCTCGAATATGGGGAATGTCGGTAGGAATAAAGATCCCAGGAGGAGACAGAAGTCCAGGAACTGCTCATTGGACAGTCTACCCAATTCCTCCTGGCATGTCTGTTTGGTTATCCAGGAAAACTGCGCTAGGTCGGCGTCAATCCGGGTAATTAACTTATCCACGTCGAACATCAAGACTTCCGATGGCCCGCACACTGCGTCCACCAGGGGACTGGGGCCTTTTGAGAGGTAGGCGAGCTATGTAATAGTTAGATGTCAGAAAGCGCTTAGAAAACAGGTATAGCAAGTAAATCCCCTGGGGCCGCCATCTCACCTGAGCCGCAGCACTATAAGGAGCCACAATATAATCTATATCATTATTATGAAGAATACGATGCAAGAACCGATAGAGTGATTCCGGTCGAGGAGTGCCTAGAATGCCCAGACATCGTCAGTGCAGGTTCAGGCGGTGCGGCGCGAGTCACTCCTCAATCTAAGGGCCCAGGCAATCCCTACCAGCACCACTAAATGCGTCCACCACTTGATCAGCCTGTTGTTGGTCATAGAGGTCCCAAGCTTGCTCAAATGCCCGTACCGACTCCGGCGATACGTGGGGTCGCTGGTTCTTAGTGCCAAAGTCGAGGCCGTCGAAGACAAAAACACATGTTACGCCCGCGTCCTTGAAGAGCTGCAGCTCTCGTTCGATATTATTCCTCAGGGCGAACGGGAATCCGCCAAGAGCGACCAGGAGAGGCTCGCGGGTGGAAGGATGGAGGAGGTGCTGTTTGATGTAATGCGACGCATCGATACCGACGACGGCACCTTTAAGGGCGGAGAGTGGGAGAGACTGCGTGCGGGCAGCGACCCATTCATCCAACGGGCGGACTATTGAGAGAAAGATATCATCAGTCAGTCGGCTGTCACCTTAGTTAGGGCAGAAGGAGCTGCAGCAGGAGCTTACTCGGCATAATTGGAGCTGGAGCTGTGTCAGGGACTAAGGACCTTAGCGGATACCAGGCATGGAGAGCCCGGTGAGGGTGACCGGGGAGGGGAAGAGAAGTGGAGAAGGGAAAAGAGCCCACGAAGAGGAGTATAGGGAGGGGGGATTGGAATGTAAAGGAGGGGGAAAGAGAAGGGCGAGGAAACACGGAGGGGTGGCACGAGTCCAGTTGGTGGTGTTGAAGTTCGTTGTTTTTGGGCGATCAATTAAATCCAAATGATCATCTGCTTCCATTGGCTGGCCAGGCGGTGCTTCCGGTCAGCCAACTGTCGAATATCAAGTCCTTCACTCCCTCCCATCCAGCCAATTGATCCAGGTTTTGTACGATTGACTATTCTCTCGGTTCTAATTTGGCTTCTAGACTTATCTATTTTGTCTACTAGGGTTTTTGGTGTATTTCCCCGGATAACAGTTGGTCAGACAAGACGAAATGTATACGACCACTGCCTAGGATATATAGATCTTGCCCTAGTATACACCCAACAGTAAAACTCCTTGCACAGTGACCCTCAGCTATTAGATCAGTACGGATTAATTTCCTGGCGGAAGACTGGTAGCTCAATGACTGTTCTTTTATTCCAAAGGATCTGTCGCATCGCTCCGATCCGACAACCGTCGAGTTCTGTCTGATAAGAGATAACCGTAGCCCCGTCTCGTCTCCATCTTTATATATTCCGGTAACTCCCCCCGGTCCCTTCTCTCTCTTCTGTAAGAATCGCAGAGTCCGTATCAGTTAAGCACACACGTGGTACAACCAAAAAGCCATCATGGCGGGCGAAAACATACCCGTGGGGTCTCTCATTCAACTCCCGATCTTGGACATCTCGAATCCGAACGACCCCGCTGTGGGGAAGGCGATGCTGGACGCAGCCGCGAAATATGGCTTCCTCTACGTGAGCAGCAAAGGAACTGACTTCAGTGCCAGTGATGTCAAGAATGCTTTTGATCTTGTACGACCACGTTTTTCGCAACCACGCAGACTCTCTCATCGAGACCCGCGTGGATAGTTATACATCGGCGTTACTGACTCAGCGATGACAGTCGAGGAAGTTCTTTAAGTCCCCTGTGGAGGAAAAGGCGGCTTGTCCGATCCAGCCCAATGTGAGTATAAATACGCTCTATGCGAGGGGCTGTATCTAGTAACTGACAGCTCTAGAACTATGGCTGGTCCGGTATGCATGTCGAGACACTGGATCCAGAACACCAACGGGTAACTATCCATGACTTTGTTTCTAGCCGTGATTATGACTGATGACTATACTTACGATATGTGCTCATAGACGGGCGACTTCAAAGAGTAAGTTGGAGCTTCCCCGGTTATATTACTCACAGTCAAACTAAGATCATACCCAGGGCATTCAACTTTGGGGAGTTCAAAGATGGAAAGGCTCAACACCCATTGCCGCAATCATTGACTTCACATGAATCGGAAATAGCTCACTTCGCAGACCTCTGTAACAAAACCTGCGACAGGATTCTCAAGTTGCTAGCACTGGGACTCGAGATACCTGAGGACTTCTTCACAGCTCGTCACGACCCCAGTCAAGGCCCGACAGGCTGTATTCTGCGTTACCTCTATTACCCTTCAATCGCCTCCCCGGCGACCTCATCCTACAAGCACGGCACCGACGTTCGTGCAGGTGCCCATTCCGATTATGGCAGCGTCACCTTACTGTTTCAGCGTCCGGGCCAGCCAGGCTTGGAGATCCTGACGCCAGAAGGAACCTGGGCACCCGTCCCAGTGCAACCGGGGCAGACTGCTGAGGAAGACCGGGATGCTGCCTTCCCGTTCCCTCCTATCCTAGTCAATATCGGTGACCTGCTCAGCTACTGGACGGATGGGCTACTGAAATCAACCGTCCACCGCGTCGTTTTCCCACTATCTGAGCAACAGAGTCCCAACCCGCAGGATCGTTACAGTATCGTCTTCTTTTGCCACCCCCTGGATAAGACAGAACTGGTCCCTGTCCCCAGTGACATAGTAACCGCCTATCGGCAGAAGTGCAAGGAGAGTGGTGTCCAGGACGAGAAAGTTGGCTTCGGCGGCGGAGCGGGGAGTCTGGAGCCAGGCAAACGAACCCTGACGGCTCGAGAACACTTAGAGTCACGTTTGGCTGCAACGTACAAGTTCGATAAATGATAGCTGGGATGTGCCTTCGAGACCATGAGACTGTATCCTATTCCTCTCAGTGTTCTATACCTTGTTATCCAACACCAAAGCAGTAAAAGGACGGTCCAATACTGAAATATAACCAAGTCATGAGACTATTCAATTCATCAAAGGAGATTAATCAAAACATATTATGCACATGGATGCACTGAGCGCAATGAATAAAGTAGATCAAACTGCCTTCCGGCAGAACATTCACTGTGGTATTTAGAAGCCAAGACCAATGGTTCGCCAATGAAGAAATATCGACAATAACACAAAAGGCCAAAAGAAGATGCTCCCAACAGGACCGTTTGGGCCAAGGAATATGCTAAACAGCTACTAACAAAAGGAAAATCGTCCGGCGTCGAGGAGATGAAGTATGGATTGTTTCAAGATAAGCAACGGGAAATGAAGAGGGAAAAATGAGGAACAGGAATATGAATGACAGAAAGGTCCAATGTTTGGGGAAACACGGTGTGCAGATTCATGACCGCTAGAGGTTATCCATATGAGCAAGTAAACAGGCATCATGCCCAACGTTAATGGAACAGTGGGTGTAATAACAAGATTTGAGATATGGGATTTGCAGGAATAGACAACACACAAAAGGTATCTTGAGATGAAGAGAAACGCCGCCAGGTTCTGAAATGCCATGCACGGGTAGATGTGAAATCTCGAAAACAAAAAGAAAAGATGGCAGGTATGACGCTATGCAAGCCAGGTATGCATTAGATATATTAGACAAAGTTCATCCGTTCATATCATGGCGTGGTGTGGCACCAATGACGATGATACACCCACGCGGCCTTCTGGCAATCTTTGCTGCAGTACTTGGTGCGGCGGCAACGGCGACACTTGGCAAATTGTCGCTGAAATTCTTCCCATTTTCCGCACTTGTAGTATGCGCATTGCCGAATGCCACCTCTCGACTCGTCCTTGCGGCAGAGATTCCTCATGACGACGCAAGCCCAGTACTGCATGTCTTTGGAGTGATGACGCACTGTGAACTTTTCCACCAAGGGGAAGATGTTGACGTCGTCAGGAAGCATGTACTCCTCCTCTTCCTCTGGCGGTTCGATCGGCGACGCTCCTTCCTCCAGCATCTGAAGTTCACGGTCGACCTTGAGATTCGGCACGAGGTGAGAGTGTTGGAAATACGACCGAAGATTGCAATACTTCGAGACGTAGGCCAGCAGTTGGAGAGACATCAAGACATCTTCGTCACGGGGCATTGTCGTCAGGACATTCTGGGGGACTGCAGACCGGTCACGGAAGTACAGGGAGTATGGACTTGGGACAAGAGCGGGAGAATTGGCGTTATTGGCGGCCTGTGTCGGAGACAGTCCCAGAGCGGTGTTGGTCTGCGTGGTGTCGTTGTTGATGATGCTGCCATCTACCGTGGAACGATGACTGATGTTGAACGTCTCAGCTTCTTGGCCTTCAGACGGATCGGTCACGGTCAGATCATGGGAATTGGAAACGCCGTCTATCATAGTTTGCCGGTCGCTCACTTCGTCAATCTCCATTTGGTTCTGCAGACCAACGATGGGCTCCGATGTCTCTGTCGAGCCAGTGTTGTCGCCTAGGGTGGAGCCTTCTCCATTCCCATCGTCAGAGTCTCCCGACGCCGATTGTTGCTGCCTCAACGTGGGTCGTTGTCTGGCGGCAGTCGTCTGGGCATGACTGCGAGGCTGCACAGGGCCGCTGGGGGTCGTCGGAGAATCAGGCTGCGAGGTAATCCCATTGTGCAAGGTGGGCAACATGCTTGGGAGTCTTTCCGTGTCCCGCACGGGACGCAGACCGAAGCCATCAGCGGTATCCATGGGTGGCAAGGCGGTGGCTAGGGGCTGCATCGCCCTGTGACGATGGCCAGTGTGCAGATGGCGACCATCGTGCGATCTGTGGATGTGGGCCTCATGTCCAAACGTGCTCCTCTCTGGGGGCGATGTCATGGGGGCACGAGGTGACGAGGTGACGTCCATGGCGTTTGCGTCGGGCGCATTTGTGGTTTGGTGGAGGAATGCAGGGATTTCAATCGATGGAGGAGGTGCCTGGCGACGAGAGGTGCGTTGCTCACTGTTGGATGACTGGTCTGGGAAGGACGGGCGCCCGGCCACATCGCCCGCAGCAGGAGCCGCCTTGGGATGATGCCGTGACGAGTGTCGTTGGTTTTCGCTATCCGCTCGTGCCCGCGCCTTATCCACCACCTTGATGTAATTGTCAAGAATGGTCGCAATCACCGGCACCATGTCCGCTTCGACTACCCTCGTCCTCACGCTCTCTGAGCCCCGCACGCCGATGTTGACCACACACTGGAAGGCGAGACTCCACTTCCACATTTCCATCAAATCTCTACTGCGACCCTCTTTGAGGATGCAGACCAACCGTTCAATGCCGCCATCGACAGTGAGGATATCGCGAATTCGAGCGGATGATGTGGTCAGATAGGCAAGATGGTTGAGAGAATTTATGAGGGGCAGGGTTGACGTGCAATCGAGGGCACGCCGGTCGTACAGGGTAGTTGTGATGTTCACCGAAGCCTTGTTGACATTTGGGATACTGAAGTTGACCTCCCGCATGATGGGCGAGAGGATCGGAAAGGGGATAGATTTCGTAGATGAGGTTCCGTCAGATGAGAGATGTCGGGGCGATGGAGAATTCGATCCGTGGTGGCTGCTTTCCTCCCCTAAAGTAAGATGGGAAAACCAATTCGCTCGAGGCGTGACTCGAGGGGGGAAGTGGGAAATCGGCAGAGTCTAAAGGGGGTTCGGACTGTTTATTTCCAGATCATGAAGGATGGAACGTGAAATCTGCGATAGTCTAGGGGGGACCCTCGGGGCCAAGTCGATGATTGTGGATGGAGGATGTTTGCAGAAAGGATGAGGAGGTTGAAAGGGAGATTTGATTCAAGCCAAGACTTGTTCGGTCACCAAGTCCGTCAGGCCTAATGGGCGATGATCCACCGGGGTATGCGAACGCAATGAGCGCAGAGACGAGGAGAACTGTACAATACAAAAAAGGAACCACAGGGATAGGCGGGAAACGCCAAACGATAACACCACGCCGCGTGAATGTGAGGGAGACTTGGGTTGATGTTATGAGGTGACTTGATGGGGGCAAAAGTCGTCCGCGAGGGAACAAGTGACTTCGGGGGCTTGGCTTTTGGGCCAAAAAAGCGAAAGCGGAGTCTCTCCTTCTCAAAAGTCAGGCGCCTTAGGCGATTGTCGTCCATTACGGAGAACGTCCTCTTTCCCTGTGCGCGCCACCCGCCACTGCGGCCAATTTTCTTTTTCTATTGTCGACTCGATCGATAGACTTTCCTTTCGGTCTTGCCCTTTATTTGCTTATTTTCCTTACTTACTTACCTTCTTTCTTTCTTCTTCCCTTCCTTTCTTTTCGACCTGTCCTACACAGTGGAGATGGCAAATGCAACCTAAGCACATCCCCCCAGCGCTAGGAATTGCTTGTATTGAGGGGATGTCGTAGATCGTAGAAGAAACTTATGCTCCTCACAACGACTACGCCTAACCAATTACATAGTAAATCCGGATTCAGATAAAGCAAGCCATCCATTACGTAGCATTGCCTACATTGAGATGTCGGGAGCTCCGGTAGGGTTTAGAATCTCGATATATTAGATTGAAGGTCCATGCTGAACACATGGGATTCTTCTATAATGAGAAAGTTCTCCATATAAGGGGGCGAATTGATTGCGACTAGTTAGTTATGTATTGATATTACTAATTCTGTAACATATTGTGGCATGCTTCTTCTGCTGAACTGACCTCACCGCTTCGCCTTCCGCTTTGATCCAGCCCTAAGATGAACCTTACATTAAGCCATGAGAAAGTGATCTACAAAGTCCACCACCACGCAATATACTGGACTATTGAATCTGTCTAAATGTAGTCTAGACCTTTTCTAGCCAGTGCTATATAGCTAACAGACCGGCGACGTACACTGGCACCCATCCCTCTAACCTCCAGTCTTGTTTTGCGTTTTCTTTGGAGCCCAATGTGCATCATATTTACAGAGTATATTCCACGTTTCCTACCTATATCCTGTCTTGAACCCCACGAGTCCATTTCCAGCCCGAAGCTATTTTAGAGGATTTTGGTATACAAAGCCGAGCATACTCAAGATTAGTATTCTCTTTTCCATTGGATGTACTGTGATATGTCCACCATACCAACCATAACCTGTTCTTAGCCTTACTGACTGGTATGTTGACCGACCAATTCTCAAGTGCCAGCCATGACGTTTTAACGTACATATATCTCAAAAGCGCAATCTGTCGTATCCAACGACCGTTATCATGTGATTCCCCAACCGCAATATACATCACCGAGTACTATTAGGGGAGCTGTCATGCGGCAGATTATCTTGATCCAACCCCTGCTAAATCTGAGACCATACTCTTAAGCGCTCTCCTGCGACAGTAAAGACATCCCTATTGTGAGCAGCCATTTAGCTGTATCCAATGCTTCAGACCATTGGCTCGCCAAAACTACGTGTACTTGGTCTAGAGATGCAGACCATCGGTCGTTGACACCTCAGCAGCTGACTCTAGGCCTTTCTAGACCGCACTCGTCGTGTTTTGGGAGCTCGTACTACAAGCTCGACTACAAGCTGCATATGCTTGTGCGCCGAAACTCAAATGGAACTACCCAAGAGTACTGATCAAATTCGAGCACCAGACTCACTTCTATTTCTTTACTTTTCTTTGTTCTTTTTTCAGATCTACACGCAACTTAACCTCTATCGTCCAAGACCGAAGTTCCAAGGCCTTGATGCGGAGCTTAATCTCGAATATAGTGCAGGATAAACTATTGTGGGTAGTCTCACCCTTCAGGCGGTAATATCGGAGCCAGGAACAAAGCTTGACTCAAGCCACTTTGAAAGTCCCATTTCATAGGATATCACTCCAATCTCAGGATAACTCATAGCATTCCATAGGACCGACAAAAGGCTCTTTTGAAAGTAACTAC